CCCCAAAACCCCAAAACCCCAAAACCCCATCATGAAGAATCTAACCTTCAAATTTTGTAATAGTAATGGTAACATTTCAAGTAAAATATAATTTAATTTTTTAATGTAAATGACTTAGCATCACATTGATGAGAATTTAAAAGATTTAGCAGTTCTCGAGACACTTGAATACATGTTTGACTGCAAAATCCCACAATATAAATAACAAGCTGCATACGCAATTGGATATCAAGTCAATTTCGATTGATAAGAGTAAATTTAAAAGTAATTCTTAATCATCATAGATTACTTAATATTCTCAATAATGCAGAAGTTGTCTTATAGTCTCAAAAAATATAACAAATGACTGACTATGTGAATGTATTAGCAATTATCCTTAACTCGCCATTTAGGTACTCTATTCAATTACAACTTCTGCAATGAATATAAAAATTCTTGAGTAAATGCTCAATCATGAAGAATTACTTTAAGGACTTGAAATTTCTATTGAAAAAGTACAAATTTATTTGACCAGTAATCAATTTAGAACAAACCTATATCATACCTACCTAATTCTCTTAATTTTGGCTCAGCAAAATATGAAGGATTTGAGTAGCTGGCAGTTTATCTAGTTTTCCTATGGGCAGATCTGACACTGTTTTACTAAGTTAATTTTATTCAGCTCCATCAGCTTTATCGAAAACTTAGAGTTGAGGGCTACAAGATAGAGAATCTACAGTTGAATCAAAGCCTTACAGATGATCTGCAACAGATATAACTAAATATACCAATTTTGACAGAAATACCAAAACTATTGGCTTCAAATATCAGGTTAAAAGACTGGGTGCTACAAATCAGACAAAATGAGCTATAAAAGGCAATGGCTGGGTGTGTGATGCTGCATTCTATTATAGAGGATTATATAATAATGACTAAGAAAAATGATCCTGATTCATAAAAGCAAGTTACTAAGGTCAAATATCTATATTAGTACATTCTACATTTTAGAAGCAGATATTCTCATGAATTTAAGAAATTGATAAAGAAGACTGACTAATATAATACAGATGTAGAATTAATGAGAAGCTAAATAAATGAAATGGCTTCAAAATTGAGAGTCTGCAAAGATCTAATGGACAAATTTGGCTTAAAAGTCCAACCTACCGACTAAGAAAATAAAGTGAAAAGGAAAGTTGATGAAAATGATATTTATTAAAAAGAGGAATAAAAAGATAGTGCAGAGATTTAAGTAATCAAGCTAGGTAAGTTAGCACCTGATATCTAATGGTATTCTTGGGCAGATGATGAACCAGATATTTCAAACTAGGACTCATAATCTAATAAATTTTAGATGAAAATTAGCTAATTTGTAAACTAAATTTGATTTCATAATAGAAATTGTTGATTGGTGTTGGGGTTTTGGGGTTTTGGGGTTTTGGGG